ATATAAAATTTATCCTTCGATCGTTCAATTTGTCCCCGAATTTCGAGTTGCACGGGTCGACACGGTCTTCCCGACCTGGCCGTCCGATATCGGACCCTGCCGGCAATCGCGGTCGCGATTGAATTCGTCCGGCGAAGCGGCGAAGTTGACCGATTAGTGCAGCGAAGAAAGTTCACTCTCTTCGCGAAAGCGAGTGGCCTCGCGAACGCGATACCGTGGTCGGCCGCGCGATTTCGATGTCACTTTCCTCGCGAGCCTCGAGGTGGCTACGAGCGAGGTTTCACCGTGCGGCCGAGGAGAGCGGTGTTCGCGACCACCTACGAAACTTGGAATCGCGCCCGTCGACGCGCTTCTCATCGTCGAGGACTGAGTCGACCCACTCGTATCCCACGATCGGTCAAGGATCAAACCCAGCACTTCCAGCAGCGCTATCCAATTGTAGAGAATCCGCCGGGTCGCGCGATATGGACTCGTTTCGTGCAAAACGTCGCACGTTGACGTAGGTCGAGCCACTTTTACGGTTCGACGGACGACCTCGTGCTATTATCTTACCGAACGGCGCGACTTTAATTCGCCGGACGTTTCGTCAAGCGTTCCCGTAGAGGGTAGTTTCTCGTCGCACGATCGGCAAATGTCCCTACCATCGAGACAACATTAATGGAAAGAACGTGATAACGTGTTGGTCGTTTGCCGAGCACGCATGCGTCGCACGCGAGAATCCCGATGGGAACGAGGATCGACCTCGGTCGGAAAAGGCATCAGAAACCGAGTTCTTAAATCCGAATTATTCCGATTGACGAAACTTCTTTAACCCTGAAGTACCAATAGTTTGGGAGAGCCTTTAAAGTCAGGTGAGTGGGACAAAAAGGCGATTTTTACATATTTCAGTTTCTCGGTAAAATGATGAATTTTGCAAGGTACGCCCAGTATCCGAGAACGGCGGAACTTACACTTTCTCGATAAAATCCAGTCCAGTTGACAATGCCATCCGATGCAGTACAACCAGCAACATAAACTTTGTAATTAATAAATTGCAAACGAGATGACTCGTTGCGTCACAATCAACGGTGGATGATAGTTGTCCTGGACAAGTAGATCTATTCCGCCGGGATTGTACGTCTTCCGATGCAGCTAAGATTACTTCCACTTTTCAAAATTCTGGTAGAAACAATGAAATTTGTATCACACTACGAACACAACTGGACAATTCTTTCGACACCCGACACAGCAGTACTCCAGGGTTAACACGGATCGGCGCGATCCTGGGGACGCGACTTAAAGGTTCTTCTATAAATTTAGACCTGCCTCGTGAAACGGGTCGAAAGCAAAAGGCATTCTGGCTATCAAAACGCGGTCTTCTCTCTCCGCCTCCAAACGTCGAGCCACGACGGGAGCAAGAGAGAGAACGAGACAGGGAGGGTGAGGGAGAGTGAGACGGAGAGGGAGAGGGAGAGGGAGAGGGAGAAAGAGAGAGAGAGAGAGAGAGAGAGACAGAGAGAGAGAGCGAGAGAGAGAGAGAGAGAGACAGTGAGAGTGAGAGTGAGAAAGAGACAGGGTGAGGGACAAAAAGATCGGTGAGTCGGTACGTGCAGGCAGCAGGAAAACGGTATACTTAAATTTCCCAGATTTAAGTACGGTCTCGCGCCACTTCGCGATTGTCCACTGGGGTGGACGAGCGAGTCGTCCTACGTATCAAAGAATCATGTTGAAATACGAGAAGACGCAGGACGGAGCGTTCCGGGAGAGGAACTCGAGCAGAGAGAAGGCGCCGCTTCGGAGAGACGCACAGGGAAGCCCGGGATACGGGGGTGAAGCGCGGGCTCCCGAGGAACGCACGAGCCCGTCGATTCGTGGCACGCGGCGGCTGCGGCGGCTGCGGAGGCGGCGGAGGCGGCAGGCCGTTCTCGGGCCGAGTGCGCGCACACACACGCGGCAGCGGCGGGCCGTGCGGCGGCCCGCCCGACACTCCGAAGGGCCCGGTCGGCGCTCCCGCCCGAGCAGCTGTGCGCGATCCGCTTCAGGGCTCGCCCCTGGCCTTCTTCCTGGTCTTCCTCGTCGTCGTCGAGCCCGCGGCTCCCGAGTCCCCTAGGTGTCACCTATGCGAGGGCGCCGTGCGGCGGTGGGGATCTTTCTCTCTCCGAGGTCGGCGCGTAGGAGGTTAGGTCGTGCCGCGCGTCGTACGTTCGCGTCCCGGCGGAGAGTGAGATATCGGCGCGCGACTCTCGGAGCGTCACCGGCACTACGCCGTCACCTAACGTTGGGTGCGCGCGCGCGCGCGCGCGCGAAGCCGCCGCGACGGTGGTCTGGCCCTCTCCCGGACGAAAGCAAGTTTTCCCTCGGCGGAGAAAAAAGACCGAGATGGAAAGATGGTAAGAGGGAGCGAGAGACGGCCGTACCGCGCCGCGGTGGAGTAAAGCGCGCACGAGGTACGAACGCGGAACGAGGAGCACGGTACGTACTAGCGCTCTAGCAGCCGGCAGCGAGCCGCTGGGGTCGATGACCTCTCCTCGCCGCCGCGAGCTCTCCTCCGCTCTCGCCCGCCACGCCCCCACTCCTCCGCCTACCGCGAGCGGCGTCGACGTCGTCCCCTCCACTGCCGCTGTCGGCGCCGCCGCCACCGCCGGAGAGAGCGCGCGCAACCTTCCCCGCCGACCCCTACGGCCCCTCCGCCGACCGCGCACCCACCCCTTCCGCGATTCTGGAAGGCCGCGGCCCCAACGCGCGCGCGGCGAGGGGAGGCCTCGGGTTCACTGGTACAGTACCCTCGCACGGTGCAACGCTCTCTTCCTGATTCCGCCACCCCGGTCGCCACGGACCGCCACTGGCGAGGGCCCGCGATGGCGCGACCCGTCCACGGAAGGTAGAGGCGTACGGAAGCACCGGTAATCTCGAGGGCGAGGTATTCGCGGTAGGCTTCGGAGACGGCCGCGAGGTCGCGGACGTAGTCCGGTCGAATGGAAAAGGAGGGACCCGAACGGCTCGGGGCCAATTACACGTTCTTCGTTATGCGTCCGCTTGGAGATAGGTTTTTCTCTCGAAATTGGGACGTTATTTGCCTACCTTCATTACAGATTATTTTCTTATCGTTATTCAACGTTTCATTCGTACAACGTATAACCTTTCAATGTAGATTCGTCAAATAACAAACTTCCACTTAGGACGTTGAAATAACATGTTCTATCCGTCTCAAGTGGATGTCTCTCGCCGCGATCGAATGACGAATATCGCCATTGACTAGAAACGACCAAGTGTACAAAATAATTTCGGCTGAGACTTATGAACTGGAATCTGACTTCTTCGCCGGAATCCTGGAAACGACCGAACGGTTCACTGACCACGTGACCCCGGAATCAGAAATTCGTTTAGATCTCCAGTCTGGAGAGATGGAAAGAGCGAGTCATTAATATTTACGCCGCGGCAACGCTCGGGACGGATCCGCCGATGGGAACTCGAAGGAGGTAAAAAAGCGACCGAGATCGGGAACAATGATCAACCGGTCATGAAATAGCTCGGAACTCCTGCGTAACGTGGCGGAGAAAGTTTCCCGTGATTTGCTATCCAGTCGAGCCGTATCGTTAGGATATCGGAGACTTTCGCGATCGCGAGTTCGCTGAACGAGACCTCCGCATCTGCGTCTTCGCCGTAACCTTCCACTCCGTGAAGTTTAAGGTTAAGCCCCTGAATCATTTCGGCTGCTTATTTCAATCGGTCTTATCGTCTCGATTACTCCACTTCGCTCCGCCCTGGCCCTCGCCTCTGCTCGGGCACCCACCCACGTTTTGTCGGTATACTCTTACCGAGGATGTCCGATGCCGTAATCTCGTATATCCCTGCCAAGTCCAACACGATTTTCCATTCATGCCGCTCTTATAACGACTCGCCTTCACTTTCGGCTATACAAGCAAATTTACAAAATAATCTTAACTTTATTCGTTTGGTAGTAAATTGGAAATGAAAAATATCTAAACGCTACTTTTTCACGGCATCCGTAACGAGGGGACTTAAATAACGTTTGCATAGAATTTGTAATCGATACAGTAAAAGATTGAACTTTTCCTTGCACCAGCGGAAAATCGGGTACTTCCAATTCGTCGCTTTCCGTAGCAAATACCATTTCTTCGGTAAGTTGGAAATATATTTTATGGTTAAGAGTCGGAACGTCCCGAAGGTTCCATATGGCGTCCGGGTCCCGGAGTGGCAGTGGTACGAATTCGGCTCCGCTTACGGACATTTCGCTGCGTGCGTCCGAACGAGTGACGGAGCGAGCGCGTGCTCTCGATACGGCAGAACTATCCTCGCTTAGAGTCGTCCCGTCTACCACCACGAGTGTACCATCGTCACCGTCGCCACCACTCTACCACCATTGCTACTGTGGCGTCGAGTCGGTGGTGCCGTATTTCGGTGCGCAACTGTGCCGTGCGCAAGCCAAGCGAACGTTCACGTAGCGGGTGTCGGTGTGTCGAGTGCACATAGTCCTTCATAGGACATTGACTTTGAGATATCGCCGAGTGCCGTCGACGAATGCCCCGCTATCTTATTTCGGCTTATCATGGCAGTTGGTCGTAGAGTACCTTATCGGAGCGTTAAGTCGCTCGCGTTCCTCGTTCGGTGAAATTCTTCCTTTGCTCCAACGAGCCACTTTGCACCTCGGCGAGTCGACGGAGCCACGTCCTCTCGTTCTTGCTCTTTGCCGTTCCCGATACGAGTGCGGATTCAGTCCGGAAGTCAAAGCGGCTCAGAGGCTCGTTTGCAAGCGAGATAGGGATGCGTACACTTCTTTATTATCGCTCTTCGACGACCGCGTTTTATCCGCTGCCGTCGCCGCTGTCGCCGCCGCCGCCGCCGCCGCCGCCGCCGCCGCCGCCGCCGCCGCCGACGTCACTGGATCCGAACATCGGACTGGTAACGATTTAGCGACGACGTAAACTCTTGACTTAGAGCACGAGACGAGCGAACTTGAACGCAGTCGAATGACCCTTTTCCGTTCCTCCTTTTTTCAGGGCGGCACGGGGTCCGAAGATACGGAGAAGCCGGAGGTTCTGAAAAGCATACGAGATGGAGAAGAAACATTCCCCGTCCGGTTGCCTTGCGTAACCATCGCACGAAGTGTCGGGGCAAGGGAGAAACGAGGGTCTCCACTTCCGGATGCGCGTGGACGACTCCGCGGTCCTTCGGGTTACGAAGAGAGACCGTCGACGTCGCGCTAACTGAACCGAACAGAAGGTCAAGGGTATGCCGGCGTTTAGGGCATGCGGCATTCGAGAGGGGGCACGGAATGTTGACCGGGTGACGAAACGACGTCCTCCGCTTGTTTAATTCTGCTTAATTCGGTCGCTTACAAAAGACACGCGGCGTGTCGTTAGACTCTGCTCGGATACCTCGCATAACGATAACCGTAAGCATAGTGATGAGAGCTGGCCAATCGGGCTGTTTGACACCAAATAATATTAAATTTTCTGTAATTGCATTGACCGATTATTACGATTATCGTTGCGACATCGTTATCGCGAGGCACACGCGGCGAAGGCCTTTACTCCCGGTAGGAACATCGCCAAGCTACTCGAGATGCGTGGAGTCGAAGTTCGACGAGAGTTTGAAGAGGCTCTCTTCCGATTGCATTTGAATTCTTGGAGGAGCCAGGCAAAACTCGACCGGCGGATTCGAAGTACCGACGCAATGGTAACGACCGCAACGCCGAGATCACGGGGTCACTGCCACGAGATAGAAGTCGCAGGACCGCGAAATCGTCGACAAGGTCGCGCTCCTAAGCTCTGATAGCGGCACGAAGAGTGACGACACGTGGGTGCTCGTCGTGTGCTGCAGTGTCGTGTCCATCGGACGAATCGCCCCGGGTCGTTCGATCGTCGAGTGAGTTTCTTGGAAAACGCGAACCGCCGCTGATCGAGCAGCAACCGAGCTTCGGTCGATCGTCGCACGACACCTGCTGGTCCAAAACGGAGTCGTGAAAGAACTTCAAAACCAGTTGATAGATTAGCGGATTAACGATTCACAGCCCCTTCGTCGATTAGTGCCGTAGGTAATGTCGTTCCGCTTCGGGCGCCCGTACATCCAAAAATTGCCCCTCCGACGGAGAATTACAACCGTTCAATGGATCGATAGAAAAGTGCTCACCGATCGTACGCGAAAGACTAAGTTTCAAAGGAAGATCGAAACGGAAAGGAAACTTGTAACCATAAGTGCATTTTTACATATTTACGAGTAAGTTTTGAATCGGTGTTCTCACAACGCATGCTTCGATGCCGATCCGGGATCCTGACATGCCCCGACCAATCGATTCTGGATAGGAGAGGCGCGAATCCGGTCATTGACGAGAAGTACCGAATGGTCGATCGCGCTAGCGCGGATGCGACTAGCGCTAGCACGTCCGGTCAAGAGAAAGAGAAAACGAGAGAAACATTCGACCGAGCGCGAAAGAACCAGAGCGGATCTCGACCGAATGGCTCGGATCGAGAGTCAGAGTGGAGTGACCCGGGGATTAGTTGGACGGGTGTAGGGGGTCACGTGGTCATAACTCTGTCAACGCTCTTTAACCGTTTACGATAGTGGTTAGGTTTCAAGTGGCTCGTTCCTCCTCTGTTTTTACCGGGCTTGGGCCGCACACCGCTCTCGCGAAGTCGCGAGTCTTGCGCAGCGTCGACATTGCGAGCGACGCTCCGCTTACGCGCAGGGTAGGGTTTAAAGAAATCGGGGGCACGTTTTCGAAATTTCCAAACGAAGTCGTCGAATGTCCGCTAACCGAGCCAAAGCTCTTTACTCGTTGCGCCTTCGCTACAGGTGAGACCCGCCTTCTGGTCTTCACCGTGCAGGAAACAGGACTTTGGTGCCTGGTCGGATAAACGCGTGGCCACATTCGTTTGCCAGTAATTTGTAATCTTTGGATATCCTTGTGGATTGGACAGCTGTAAGGTTTTAGGTATCGTTCTCCAGGTTAGATGAGAAACATTTATAAATATAAGTGTAATAAATATAATTAAAATTAGGCTTATTCTCTGTCAAAAAAAGTTTCGTTTAAAAGAAAATCTGAGATGACGAATTATTTTGGATACTTGCAAAATAACACGACATACTTTCAGTGTTTATAAAATGGTCAAAAATAGCGTTTACGAGGGACTCTCGAGGCCGATGATGCAGCATCGACCTATGTTTTGGAAGCAGTGCATCGACCTTTCGACATGTCTCCGTTGGTCGTCGAATGTCCCCCTTTTTCCTGGATGGGAATCTAGAAGAGATTGCTGGGCAATTTGAGATTGCGAATTTGAAGAATAAATTTGAGGGACACGTCGGTTTCTTCATCGTTCCCGAGAAAAGGCGTATTTCATTAGAGTCATGGAAATATCGTGATGTTCGGGATCGCTACACTCGTGAATTCACGTCCTGGAGACGACGGTAGATCGATCTTGCTTCACACGTTTTCGTCGTGGAAACATCCCGCTAGGTAAATGTCGTTCATGTCAATGCACGTACAAGATACTCTTTTAAACATTTTTTCAAATTTTTCCTTACCTTGAAGACTTCTTTGTCCCTTTAGAAATTCCAAAAGTGCATTTGTATCGATCTAAAATTGAGGGGTAAAGCATGACCTTTACGGATTCGTGATTCGAAGATGGTACATCGACTTTTCGGAACGCATAATCGTTCTTAGGGTATTTCGTTCACTAAGTTCCGTATAAACGTACATTCGAGGAGGGTGGCTTCTATATTGACTTTTGGATTCCGCAACGTCATTGGGGCTCGTTCCGATTGGATCGATCGTCTAGTCGGGAATCGTGGAAACCTTCGTTTACGAAACCGCGGGAAACCGATTTTTTTCGCGAGAGGGGTAACATTCAAACTCTCGCCCATGCAAAGTGCGACGGAAGTTGTCTATCCGTATGACTTTCGAGAGTTTTAGATATTAAAATATTGCTCGAACAAAAGGTATAATAATTTGTCGGTTAAAGGCGCATGTATAATCTAATACTCCATTCTTAAGCTTTGAACTTATTATTTTTCTCAATTCTTAATATTTTTATGGCTTCATATGCTGAAATATGAAGGATACTGCTGTTTTGGGATTCATAAACGCATTCACAATAATGGGAAAAGTACACGAAATGAAATTTCCGCAACCGATATAAATTCGATCAGGTGGAACACGTAAGTTAGTATAATCGAGATAAACGAATTATTTTGTCGACATGTATCCTAGAATTGCTGTTAATTAGGCATAATCCATTTCGTTGTCCCCTAATATTATGTTATTGAGATAATTTTTTTGTCTTAATTATTTTTCTTTCCACATTTTCATGTTTGGTTTATATTTTGGCACGTTAAGAATCGTGACTGATCGTGAGACGGTCAATGGCGTGAACTCGCATAATGAAATTAACGTTTTCTTCGGAAGATTACACTCGATAAAGGATATCTACTTAAAAGATTAGTAGTTCGCTCAGTCGGGGTTTCGTCGCTATCGGCGACTTACTGCCGGCTAGCGGCTGCGCTTCGAAACTTCTTCACGTTTAGTACAGACATACTCCTAGTTTCATGGTAGGTGCAGACGTTACCTACCAACTTGAGAAATCTGTTTTTTTTAACTCAATCGAGGTGCAAGACTAACTCCATGACAGTTCGAAACAAGAAGCTGGTAATGTTTCGTGCTAAATAGTAATTATCCATACTCATGCATACGCATGTATGTGCGTGTACGTGTGTGCAGTCATATCCTGGCGAAAACGCTATCTGTACAGTTTTTATTGCAATGAGGTATTCCGATATCTGTTAATATTAATATCAGAGTTGTGAAAACTTGCAATAAATGTATGATTTGTAGAATTGAAAAGAAAATAATATTGTTCAGTCTTTGTAATGGTTTTTTTCCCATACCATCTGCTATATACTATGCGTTTCTAAAGTTTGTCAAGGTTACATTTGGCTGAAACGTATTTAGACGTCATTTTCTGCCACACTTTTCATACATTTTCGGTATAGAAAAGGAATAAGAATGGCGGAACTCCATCTTTGTCTCTTTTTGATCTTGGAAACTTACAGGTAACAAAGAAGGGGAAACCATTCATTAATGTTGTGTTTACATCGGCGTCCTTACACAACGAGACGATACGTGAGCATGTTATCGTCCGACATCAGTTCCTCGTACATGAAATAAAACCTTGGGGGTCACTGCCCGTTAATTATTAAATTAAATATAAAAGAAATTATTTAGTTCCTTACTTAAACGTTATCCTTGATGGTGTCCGAAAAAAATTGCAGCCACTCGCGCGAGTGCTTAATTTGAAGAGAAGAATCTTCCCCGTTGAGCTACGGTAGTCGCATATTAAAAAAAAATTCACCAATGACGGGGCAGCCCAAAAACCGGCATTGAAAAAGTCGTAGATCCCTAACAAAATCTGGCATTCGCTGCGAAAGTTCCTTTACTGTTTTTTCTGCGATCTGTAGTTTTGAGGATACATCGGAAAATAAATGCTGCGCTCTCATTGGTCGGCTCTCAACAGGCCGTAACTCGGAAACTACGCGGCGTACGAGAAAACGGAAAAGGAAATTTCGATTTCAAATGACGTCCGCCGTCGATCCCCCCGGGTCCCAACTTCCGGTACCTGAACGGACAGGCTCGGTTTAGGTAGGGGGCGTTCGCGACCGGCGCGATGGATAGGGGACCTGATTGCGCGACGAAACTTCCTTTACCGTTTTTTTCTACGACCCGTGGTTCCGGAGATACAGCGGAAATAAGAATGCTGCGCTTTGATTGGTCGGTTGTTTGGAGGAGCGTAACTCGGACACTACGCGGTGTAGGAGAAAACGGGAAAGGAAGTTTCGCTTCCAAACGAGGTCCGCCGTCGATCCCCCCGGGTACTGACTTCCGGTACCTGAACGGACAGGGTCGGTTCAGGTAGGGGGTGTTCGTGACCAGCGCGATGGGTAGGGGATCTGATTGCGCGACGAAACTTCCTTTATCGTTTTTTTGTACGACCCGTGGTTCCGGAGATACAGCGGAAATAAGAATGCTGCGCTCTGATTGGTCGGTTCTTTGGAGGGGCGTAACTCGAAAACTTCGCGGCGTAGGAGAAAACGGAAAAGGAAGTTTCGCTTCCAAATGACGTCCGCCGTCGATCCCCTCGGGTCCCGACTTCCGGTACCCGCACGGACAGGCTCGGTTCAGGTAGGGGGCGTTCGCGACCGGCGCGATGGATAAGGGACCGGATGCCGCGGCGAAACGAGAGATGAGTTGGGAGATTGTTCACGGGTAGGGTGAC